TCACCACCCCAAAAGATCAAGTGGCCTTCACAGGCCAGGTGAGCATGGCGGATGGGGAATCAGCTGGGGACACAGCTGAGCCCACTGAGTTTTTGGTTCCCTTTCCAGGCCTCCTGACCCCCTGCATTTGTGCCGAGAACCCTTGAGTCGAATCCATCGGCCCTCTTCTACCCTGAGGCAACGATCAAAGACAAGCCCCATCCCAGAGGAGAGCCCTTCACCAAAGGTGGGCCGGGGCCCCCAACCTACCCTGGTGGTGATGCTAGAAGACATTGCTGGTCCCAGACTCCCAGCTGAGGTATAGAACTTGGGGAAGGATGATAGGGGTTTAGCTGGGGCATTCCAGCAGGGTTATAAAAGAGAAATAAGATGACTGACTCTGGGGTAAATTTCTCAGGGCAAGAATCACAGCATTTTAGGTAGCATAAAATACCTGAGCAAAAATTATATGAAAGTCTTAAGTGTGAACCCAAGCAGGTAGCTAGGGACTGAAAGAGCCAGGGCATAGGGAACTAAGGAAGCCAAAGGCAGCTTCCCTGCTTCTCCACATATATCCCTTGTTTATATCCAGGACTTCATGGATGAGAACCCCACCTTCGCCATCCCATCACAAAGGTGAGAGGGGCTGGGAAAGGGATCATCCCGGTAGCCAGAGCTAGGGACATCAGGATTTATTTTTCAGTCTTCCTTGTAGCACCTTTAAGGGACAGGGGTGCCATGCACAAGCTTTTCCTAGAGACTGAGGCAGGAGAATTGCAAGTTCAAAGCCAGCCTCAGCAATTTAGCAAGGCCTTAAGCAACTTAGTGAGACCTTGTCTCAAAATAAAAAATAAAAGTGTCTGGGGATGTGTCCCAGTGGTTAAGCACCCCTGAGTTTAATCCCTGGTACCAAAAAATAAATAAGTAAAAAAATAAATAAAAAGGATTGGGGATATATAGTTCAGTAACAGTGTCCCAGGTTTAATTCCCAGTATCCCCTTCCAAAAAAAAAAACCCCACAAAAAACAAAGGACAGAGGAGGTGGTGGCTTAGGTGAGATTTAGACCTGGAAGCCTTCACCTGAAACCTTTACCTTGCCCCTTAACCTCAGAGTTGAGCCCATGGCAAAGGTTCACCAGCTAATGCCTGCATCTGAGGACCTAGAACCTCCATTCCAGCCGTCCACCCTTACTGCAGACCCACCAGGGAGCCCACCACCAGGTAAGTATGAGGGTTGAGACTGGGAACTAAGATTTCTGGAAGTATCAGGTGCAGAGGTGGGAGGTGGGGTCCTCCCAGAGTGGAACATAGTGCATGAAAGTGGAATTTAGAGGCTTTGAGGTTTAACTCCCAATTGTAGGACTTAATTTTTAGGAGTGGGTTTATTCCTCTGTGGATAAAGATTATTGTTTGAGACAGAGGCCAAGGCTGCTAAGTTGGGGCTTAGACACCCACAGCTAAGGAATGCCTACCTGTGACCCTCTCCTTTCCTTAGCCCCAGATCCTGCTCTGGAGCCCCCATCGACCCCACCACCATCCAGTCTTTTACGCCCCCGCCTCAGTCCCTGGGGCTTGGCCCCCCTCTTCCGTTCCGTCCGCTCCAAGCTGGAGAGTTTCGCTGACATCTTCCTCACGCCCAACAAGACCCCGCGGGCCCCACCCCCATCATCTCCCATGAAGCTGGAGTTGAAGATTGCCATCTCAGAGGCTGAGCAGTCCCGGGCTGAGGGCATTACATCTGTTAGTCCCCGTCCCCCCATCCGCCAGTGGCGGGCTCAGGACCATAATACCCCAGCACCTCTCCCTAAGCTTTCTCTGGGCCGAAGCCACTCCTGCCCTGATCTGGGGCCCCCTGGCCCAGGTACCTGCACCTGGCCCCCTGTTCCACCCCAAACAAGCTGGTCCAGGCCCCGTCGGCACACTGTGGGTGGTGGGGAGATGGCCCGAGCCCCACCACCTCCTCGGCCCTGTCTCCGGAAAGAGGTCTTCCCTCTTGGAGGAATGGTTGCCTCCCCTTCTCTCACCACATCTTGCTCGTCCAGTGCATCCACCTCCTCCTTCTCCGAACCAGCAGAACCCAGGTAGTGCACTCAATAAACCCTTGAAGCCCTGGCCACAGTCTGGGTCCAGCTTCCTTAAGTATTCAGTGGGCAGGAGATGGGGATATTGCTGTGAATCTTGTTGGTTCCTGAGCCTTGACCTTCTCTGCAGATTGGGCTCAACCAAGGGGAAGGAACCAAGATCCTCAAAAGACCAGGTGCTTTCAGACCCTGAGACCAAGGTAGGATTACAGCTGAGAGGGAGGAGACAAATGGATTCCCAGCTGTCTGTACTTCAAGGAAGCCACTCTTAACTACCTACACCATTTTTGCAGACTATGGGAAAAGTTTCTGGATTCAGAATACGTAAGACACCAGTCCGTCCTCAAATAAACCTTACACCAATGGGCCTGCCTCGACCAGTCAGGTGAGAGATTCACTAGGCAGGGCGCTGCCTTGGTCCAGCAGGTGGAGGCTTATGTCCCCTGAAGTATGGCTTTGTCTCCTCTCAGGGAGCACAGTCCCGCCTGGAGGAGAAAGTTTGGCATGGACATGGTTTGTGCTTAGAACTTCCTGTCTGCCTCACACAGCACTCCTGGCCCTGGCATGATCCAGAAACTGAAATACAGACCAGGCCTTACCTAGCCCTTCTTCAGGCCCCACTGGCCCAAGGTTTCTCAGTGGCCTCTGCTCTTTGCTCCCAGGTTAAACAAGAAGGAGTTCAGCTTGGAAGAAATTTATACCAACAAGAATTATCAATCACCCACAACCAGGAGGTGAGGAACTTTGAAAGCTTGAGGGTGGTAGAGGAAGGCCAGAACCAATGGCCTGTTGGTAAATAGCTCCTCTCCCTATCTGGTCCAGGACCTTTGAGACCATCTTTGAGGAACCCCGGGAGCGCAATGGGACTCTGATTCTCACCAGCTCAAGGAAGCTCCGGAGGGCTGTAGAATTTCGGGACAGCAGTCTTCCCCGATCCCGGCGGCCATCCCGTGGGGTCCGGGCAGCAGCTAGCAGGAGCCTTACTCCCAACCTGGTACCCAGCCCAGATGTGGGACCCCTGCTGCAGCAACGGCTGGAGGAGCTAGATGCCTTATTCCTGGAGGAGGAGAAATAGATGGGGAGCAACCCCATCAACCCTAGAAACTCTTGTTTGTCCATACATCTGGAGGGAGGGGAACCTCTAAGGCACTTATATTTTTTTCTCTATATTTCTAGTAAAGTTTTCGATATGTTTCTGATTCTTTTGTGTTTCTGAGTTTGAGACTGATAGACTGATTGACAGTACTGACTGATATTTCTATGTTGACTCCCCCAAAGGACTAGGCTTTTTTGGGGGGAAGGGGGCATCAGGAATTGAGCCCAGAGATGCTTAACCATTGAGCCACATCCCCAACTCTTTTTTTATATTTTATTTAGAGAAAGGGTCTCTCTGAGTTGCTTAGGGCCTCTGTAAATTGCTGAGGCTGGCTTTGAACTTGAAATCTTTCTGCATCAGTCTCTCCAGGGGCTGGGATTACAGGGGTATGCCACCACACTTGGTCCCCCCAAAGAAGACTAGGAAAACAGTCAGAGTGGCACTCATAATTTAGAGACTGCACGGAGCAGAGGACAGATTCTGGAACAGGGATTCCCAGCTGTCTGTACTTCAGTTCCCCTCGCCTTCTGTAAAATGGGCAAATAATTACCAAATGAGTTAACATATGAGAAAGTGCACGGCACATAAGTGCAAAGTGTTTTTTGTTAGCGCTCGGAGAACACAGACCAGCATTTTTGAGCCGAAAAGTAACTGGACAGAATCTCGATCTCGCAAATCTAACACTCGCAAAGCAAGCGGCATACTGGGACCACCTCACGCCGCTTGAGCGATCCCCCTAGAGACCTGACAGAGGTGGCATCACCATGCGCATGCGCTAAACGCCAAGCGGCGGAAAGGCAGACGCGACGTAACTGGTTGTCGAACAGCACCTTCCTCAGCCACGCGCCGCCCAGCGGCCAACTGCCCTCTAAACTCGGGCACGGCATCTCAACTCCTATCCTTGACGCCGTCAGAAAGCGTCCAATAAACGAAGAGCAGGAAAAGGCGGGGCCACCTAAGGAACCGCCCCAAACACCTACTTCTAACCAGTCGAGTCACAAGACTCGAGGAAGGGCGGAGCTAATCTGACGTAACCCAATCCAAGATTTGAGGGCGGTTACATATTACCTATCCCCGGAATTTAACTCCGCCCTTCGCTTTGACGTATTCTTACCAACCTATCAACTACTGAGCCCGTGGGGGGTGAGGGGAAGGGGGCGGGGAGTGGGAGGAGGCAGAGAGAGGAAGGAGGCGTAGGCTGAGGAGGAAGAGGGAGGAGGGGTAGGGAAGTCCTGGCGGAGAAGAGGCCCAAGACTCCAAAGGAGACAACGGGAGAGTGCGCTGGAGTTCCCTGGCTCCCCAACGGCCGTTCCGGATTTCCTAAGGCACAAATCAGACAGAGACGGAGGAAAGGAGGAAGAGACTTTTATGTCGGCGGACAGAGAAGCTCTACCCGTCACCGGTGCCTCACATCCGGGACTTTGGAGGGCTGGCCCCGCGGCCCCGCCCCCCCTCGCACCTTTCATGGCGACCGGAGGCGGAGGCTGGAGGAGCAGGGCCTGGAGGAGGCCCCTTTAAATCTCCTTAAAGGGGTGGCCACCGAACTCGGCAGACTCCAACGCCAGCCTTAAAGGGGAAACGTCGAGCAGAAGCTGACAAATTGAGAACTGTGCTGTTAGAAGAATTGGGGCGAGTGGGATTTCCCACCCTTACCTCCTCCTACGCAAGAAGTCCTTTAAATTCAGCTTAAAGGGGAAGTGGCCGTTTGTGGAGGACTAGAAACAAACTCCTGATCCCTTAAAGGGAGGGCCGGCTGTGTGAAGGACCCTGGACTCCTTAAAGGGGTGGCCTCTTTTAGCCGGAGGACTTAAGACACTTTTAAAGGGGAGGTCTGCGTTTCGGGTCGAGCTTTCGGCCCCTTTTAAAGGGGCGGCCCTTCCTCTTCCTCGGGGAGACTTGCCTCGACCCCTGGCAGGGGGCGGCCACCGCAGTAGGCCAGCCGGACAGTGTTGGGTCGTCTTAAAGGGGCCGGGGGCTGGACAACTTAAGGCCTCACCTTAAAGGGACGGCCACTCGTTTCGCCTTCTCGGCCCAGTCGGCCCCACAGGGGGGGGCCCTCGGGCTTGTCGCCCCGGGGGCGGCGCCGGCTCTCGGGGCCTTGGCCTTGGGGCAAGCTCGGGGCCAGCAGATCCTGCTTTAAAGGGGAAGCCGTGGCCCTCTCGTCCCTGTGCAGCCGCCAGCGCCGCGCCTGCGACCCCGGGCCTGCCGACAGGCCGCTTCAGGCCCCGCCGCCTCCGGATGCGGCGCTGAGGGCCGTCACCATGGAGACGGCCGCGGCCCCGGGCCCGGGCTGGGCAGCTGAGGGGGAGCGGCGACGGAGGCGCTGCTCGCGCCGAGACCGAGACCGAGAGCAGCGGCGCCGCCGAGGTCCAGGCGGAGACGCGCCCCGGGCCTTGTTAGCCGCCCCGCGCGGTTCTTCGTCCTCGGCGTCACCGCCGCCGCCCACCAGGCCCTGGTCGTCAGCTTCGTCTGGAGAACGGCCCGGAGGCCCGAGACGGCGGCGGCCCCGTCCTAGGCCTCGGCCCCCGCGACCCCGAGCTCGGAAGCGGCCCGCCGGCTCGGGAAGCCGCGGGGAGGAGGAAGAGGAGGAGGAGGAGGGGGGCGCAGACGACGGGGAAGCCGAGGAGGAGCCTGAGGAGGAGGAAGAAGAGGAGGAGGACTTGATCGATGGCTTCGCCATTGCTAGCTTCGCCAGCCTCGAGGCCTTGCAGGTGGGGCCTTTTGGGGTTGGGGACCTTTGGGGGTTTCAGAGGGAAGAGAGAAGGGTACAGTGCCTAGAGTGGGTGGGGTTGAGGGGGGAATGCTGGCACCCCAAACCAGAGCAACCGGCTCCTCTGGCCAGGCTCTGCCCCACCCTGGGTGGGAGGAGGTAGAGCTAGTCTCCAGGGACCAACCAGGTTACTGGGCCTGAGAGGCACTTTGGCGGCCTGGTCACCCCTAGAGAAGTGGGGAGGTTTTCTTTTTCCATCTACTTCAGTCCCACCTCCTCCTCCACAGAAGGATGCATCTCTTCAGCCCCCAGAGCGACTGGAACATCGGCTGAAGCATTCTGGGAAACGGAAGAGGGGGGGCTCCAGTGGGGCCACTGGAGAGCCAGGGGACAGCTCTGATCGGGAGCCTGGCCGGCCCCCTGGGGATCGGGCCCGCAAATGGCCCAATAAGCGGAGAAGGAAAGAGGTGAGGTGTCCCAGATCCCCATCCTTTAACACTCTTTGGGTGGAGTGTCTTTAACATTGATTGGTTTTCTGTCAGCAGTGCATCCTAAACACTAACCTCAGACTCTAAGGGCAAAGAGGAAAGGGTACAGCAGATTTGAACCCCCAGCTTCTCCCTATCCAGGTCTGACCCAAGATTTGTCTACAGTCAGACTCACCTGTTTTTGTTTGGTTCTACATTGGTTTCAGATGCATTGATAATTTTAAGAGACAAATCAAAGGAACTTGTTTGAATCATAAATTACATGTGGACCCTTGAGGTGGTGGTAGGAAAGAAAAGCGTCGGCAATTAAATACCTAGAATTAAGCTTGAGAAAAGCTATACAAGGCCAGATCTGGAAGAGGTATGGAAGAGATGCTGCAGAAACTCACATGAGGAAACCACTCTTTCTGTCTGGGGGATGGGAGGAGGGTTGTGGTTAGGGAAAGCCCCCTAGGATGACTTAGTCAGGCCCTGAAGTAGTCAGAAGTTTGCTAAGAGGAGAAATGGAGAAAAGTTGTTTGGGGTCAACATGCATAAATGTAAGAACCTAGTGCATTTAGGCCCTGAAGTAGTCAGAAGTTTGCTAAGAGGAGAAATGGAGAAAAGTTGTTTGGGGTCAACATGCATAAATGTAAGAACCTAGTGTATTTAGAAAATGACAGTAGAATGGGGATGGGCACTAGCCAGAGAAGCAGCTACAAAAAGAGGTTGAAAATAGATCATGAGAGACCTTGAATGCCTTGCCGGGAGTTGAGACTTTATCCAGTTGCCTGGCCAGTCAGCCTCCCTTACCTCTGGACTCTGGTCTTTCTCAGGCCTTCTCCCGTCACTCTCTGGAAGCTGGATACATAGTAAGTGCTGTCTACCTGTCCTGGCTCCTCCCCCCATCCCTTGGGCCTCATCTCTCTTCCCTATCCTGACACCATTCTCTTTTCCTTCTCCCCAGTGTGATGCGGAAAGTGATCTGGATGAGAGGGTGAGTGGAGTTAGAACTTGCTGGGCAGGCAGAGTCCCCAGCTTGGAAGATGGACTGCAGCTTAAAGGCCTACATGCAGCAGACAGCCTCATCTTGAGTGGGGAACATGGGTTAGGTTGAGCCTGGATTGGTCTTTTGGGAGAAAAATGGGGGACTTGGGAGGGCAAGTGGCCAGCTAACCAGAGAAAGAAGGTCCATGTCTTGGTGAGCCATTCTTTCTAAACCTCTTGGAGCTACCACTAGTTCATGGACATTCAGAATGACTGGAACACAGGTGGTCTTTCCCACTGGCCATTAGTCACCTCTTACAATTTGAGTTTCATGGATGAGAGTCTGAGCCGAGATGTTTATCATGGCAGTAAGGACACTAAACCATTGTAAACAGTGTAGGAACTTCTCTTTTAGAGGTATCTTAGTTTACGATTAGAGTTGATTTGCTTGACGTGTAGTAACATGTCCTGGCAGATAGTACTGTACACAACTGTGTAACTACTCCTAAAAGTAGTGAAATTTGCATTTTCTGATGTATGCCTTGTTTTCCTTCAAAAGTTGACTGGACAAGGACTGTGGTGCAGGGAGTTGTTGTCCATTTTAAGGGGATGGCCACTATCCATTTCTAGCAAACTATTGAGAATGGGGACAAGAAAACCTGAGTCTGGATTCTTAATGAGGAGTCTCCAGGTTTCAAAATCTTTGCAGTTAGTTGAAAGATTTTTGCTAATGGTAGTGGACCAAACAATCTATAAATCAGGTTGTCCTGGGGGCCAGCAGTAGTGATATCTGACATTTTTGCTTTGATTTCCTGTTTTTCTGACACTTCAGTACTGCCTTGATTCAGTTCTCCTTGCCTAGCAGATTCTCAGGCTCAGCAATTTACTTCTTTCTCCAAGCTTAGGCCCCTTAGTACCCACAATACAGTGGATCTCAGC